CTCCAGCAGGGCCATCCCAAGGCACAGTGTGTTTTGGGAATCTCCACGCCCGCTCTGGGCAGCCTGGTCGGGGCTTGGACACTGAGTAATGAAGTTCTTCCTCCAGTCCAGGTGGAACTTTCTGGGCTCAGTCCCTGCCCATTCCCCTGGTGCCACCGCTGGGAGCCCGGAGCAGAGCCCTGGGCACCGCCAGGCAGGGGTGAGGTCCTTTCCTACCCCAATTCCCTGTCAGGGAGATGCTCCCGTCCCTCATCTCTGCCACCCTCACAGGCACCGCTCCATCCCTGGCCGGGCTGCCCTGCCCTTCCCGGTACCGCTCTATCCATGGCCGGGCTGCCCTGCCCGGTACCGCTCCGGGCTGCCCTGCCCGATACCGCTCCGGGCTGCCCTGCCCGGTACCGCTCTATCCAGGGCCGGGCTGCCCTGCCCGGTGCGGTTCCATCCATGCCCGGGCTGCCCTGCCCGGTACCGCTCTATCCAGGGCCGGGCTGCCCTGCCCGGTGCCGCTCTATCCACGGCCGGGCTGCCCTGCCCGGTACCGCTCCATCCATGCCCGGGCTGCCCTGCCCGGTGCGGTTCCATCCCTGGCCGGGATGCCCTGCCCGGTACCGCTCTATCCAGGGCCGGGCTGCCCTGCCCGGTACCGTTCCACACACGGCCGGGCTGCCCTGCCCGGTACCGCTCTATCCATGGCCGGGCTGCCCTGCCCTGCCCTGCCCGGTACCGCTCCATCCATGCCCGGGCTGCCCTGCCCGGTACCGCTCTATCCACGGCCGGGCTGCCCTGCCCTGCCCTGCCCGGTACCGTTCCATCCATGGCCGGGCTGCCCTGCCCGGTGCCGCTCCGGGCTGCCCTGCCCGGTACCGTTCTATCCATGGCCGGGCTGCCCTGTCCGGTACCGCTCCATCCATGCCCGGGCTGCCCTGCCCGGTTCCATCCCTGCCCGGTGCGGTTCCATCCCGGGAACACCGACCGGGACCGCCGTGACGTCATCGGCGTCGCCGTCTCCGTGGCAACGGGGGCGCGCGGTGCGTCACGTGATGCGCGGAGCTGCTTCCGGGTCGGTGCGGGACGCGGCCGGCGGGCCTGGGTGAGCGCGGCGGGACGGGACGGGACGGGACAGGGACAGGGACAGCGACATGGGGACAGCGGCACCGCCCGGCACCGCCCGGCACCGCCCGGACTGCCCCGGCACCGCCCGGCCCGGCCCCGCCAGCGCGGAGCGCGGAGGCCGCTGTCAGCCCGGCTGGCCCGAGGCCGTGTGAGGGGACAGCGACAGCGACAGGGACGGGGAGAGGGACAGGGAGAGGGACAGCGGGGACAAGGGACAGCGGGGATAAGGGACAGCGGGGACAAGGGACAGCGGGGATAAGGGACAGCGGGGGTCACCCGGCACTGGCCGGCACCAGCCCCGGCAGCAGAGAGCGCGGAGGCCGCTGTGAGGGGACAGGGATGGGGATAGGGAGAGGGACAGTGACAGGGACACGGACAGAGGCACGGACAGGGACGGGGACAAGGGATAGGGACAGGGATAGGGATAGGGATAGGGACACGGACAAGGATTGGGACAGGGACAGGAACAGCGACAGGGATAGGGACAGAGATAGGGACACGGACAGGGACAGAGACAGGGGCACGGACAGAGGCACGGACAGGGACGGGGACAAGCGATAGGGACAGGGAAAGGGATAGGGACACGGACAGTGACAGGGACATGGACAGAGGCCCGGACAGGGACAGGGATAGTGGACAAGGGATAGGGACAGGGACACGGACAAGGATAGTGATAGCGACAGTGATTGGGACAGGGATAGGGACACGGACAGGGATAGGGACAGGGGCATGGACAGGGACACGGACAGGGATAGGGGCACGGACAGGGACAGGGACAGGGACAGGAACACGGACAGGGACAGGGACAGTGGCAGGCCGTGCGAGGGGCGGGCAGCGGCCTCGGGAGCCTGCGGGTGCGGCTGCGGGCTCGTCCTGCCCCGGGCCCGGCACGGACCGGGGATTCCAGCGGGGACAGGGCCGGGCCGAGCCGGGCCGGGCCGGGCCGGGCTGAGGCAGCCAGCAGCGGGCTGCCTGTGACGGGCCCGTGCCAAAGTTTCACCTGCTGGTGGCCTGTGCTGGTGGCCCAGCGGGTCAGGCTCCCTGCCCTGCTCCAGTTCCTGAGAAATCCTGCTGGGATCTCCCTGCCCACAGCAAGGAGGGCTGGAATAGACGATCTTCAAGGTCCCCTTCCATCCCAACCCATTCTGTGATTCACTCCTCTGCTTCTTGAGAGCATCTCAGAAATAATTTCCCTGAATCATGTCTCGGGAGAACGATGTTGCAGCTCCTTGCAGGCGGATGTTTGTGCCTTCATCCCTTCCTCGGGCTTTGTTTTCTGTGTGTACAAACATGTCGGGATGTGTTTGGTGTGTGACTGTTCAGGATGTGCCCCGAAGGCATTTGAGTGGCACTGGAATTTCATTAGCATGCCATTAATGGTCTCATTCTCCTGAAGGGTCTCTTCTTCTCCTGGAAGCTCACAGCACAGGGGATGGAAATATTTTCCATGCTGATTTCAGTGTTCTCTTTTCACCCATCAGCTGGAAATATTTTCTGTGCTGTTTTCAGTGTTCTCTCTTCACCCATCAGCTGCAGCAGCACTCTGGCTTTCCCTGGAATCAATCTCAAGTCAGGGTTGTGCTTCTCTTTCCAGACACTTCCCAGTGCTGCTTCCAGCTTGGGAATGCCAGCACAGGAAGATGTGGAGCTGCTGGGGAGGGATCAGAGGGATGGAACAGCTCTGCTGGGAGGAAAGGCTGGCAGAGTTGGGATTGTTCATCTGGAGAGGAGAAGCTTTGGGGTGACCTCAGTGTGACCTTCCAGTCACTTGCAGGGAGACAGAGGGAGAGGGACAGGGATGATGTCAGAGAGTGGCTTCAGACTGGATATTGAGGTGAAATTCCTCCCTGGCAGGGTGGGCACAGAGGGCCCAGAGAAGCTGTGGCTGCCCCTGGATCCCTGGGAGTGTCCAAGGCCAGGCTGGACAGAGCTTGGAGCACCCTGGGGTGGTGCTGGAAGAGTGTTGGAATGAGGGGTTTGAATTCAATTATTTTTAAGCTCCCTTCCAACCCAAAACATTCTGGGGTTCTCTGTCCTTGCTCACTGGGGCCACAACCCTGCAGCAGAGCACTTAAACCTAACAACAAAGGCTATTTTTTGCCTGGAAAATATTGGAATGAGGGGTTTGAATTAAATTATTTTTAACTATCCTTCCAACCCAAAGCATTCTGGGGTTCTCTGTCCTTGCTCACTGGGGCCCAACCCTGCAGCAGAGCACTGAAACCTGACAACAAAGGCTATTTGTTGCTGCCTCTCAAAGCCCAAAGTGCCTTGTTTGCACTCTGTGCTGTCATTTAGAAAACTCAGAGTTATTTTGAGCCCTGAATTGTTCCTGGAGCTGTCAGAAACGTGCACCTTGCAGGTCACCCTGTCCTGCCCTTGTGCTGACAGCATTCCCTCGAAACCTGTCATTCCCTTGGCACATCCTGCTGCTCCTTGCTGCCAGGCAATTGTAGGGATTCAGAGAAGCCCAGATGATTACAGGGCACGTGGAATCCCATGGGAGGGGAGGTGGGAAAGGTGACTGCCCACTCCACGGCTCTTTTGTCATCTCAGGGCGCTCAGAAGTGGAGCTTGAGGAAGAAAATGTTGGGGATTCAAAGCTGTTGGATGTAAATGTCAGTAGTTTTTCTTCTCAGTTCTGGACTGCTCTGACACTGGAGCTGAAAACACCATTTTTTTGCCTCTAAGGTGAGTTTCTCCTGTGGGATATCCAGGTGCTGTTTGTTCAGCAGATAAAGAGGGATGGAGCAGATGGAGAAGCCACGTGGAGGACAGAGGGCTTTATGCACATGGGAGTTCCAGAATTTCCAGACCAGGAGGTCTGAATGTGTGTTTGGAAAGCCCTGGCTGCCTGTGGATGATGCTCTGGAACGAGGCCTTTCAGCCCAAAGCTCTCAGTGCACATTGTTCCTGTAGCATGTGGAATGGTTTAGCCTAAAACTGAACGCCTTGTTCCTATCAAACTCCAGTTTGAGGATTTATTTTTTGATTCTAGATAGAGTAGTGACATGAGTCAAGTTTGAGCTATGAATCAACCAAGCTGTTGAGAGATAAAAATGGTGGGGTTTGGGTTTTTTTAAAGACTAATCCTGTAAGTCCCTATTTGTGACGTTTAAACTTTATATATAATATAAAAATGATAACATGCTTCAGTCACTTGCTGCTTATTGTCCTCAAATCCTTTTGGTTGGTGGGTTTTAGGTAGGCTGGTCATGAAGAAGTGAAGTGGAACTTGTTAAGCAGGTCATTCCCAGCAAAGGGAGCCTAAGTGAAATCACTTCTGTTTAGAATTTTATATCTAGCTTTATATCCTTGTCTGTAACAAGTCTAAGGGAAAGAAACGGGCAGAAACTTTAATTCAAGATTAGCAACATGATTTGCCATGGATGTGTGGCCCTGGTCTGAGGTTTAAAACTGTAATTTTGCAGTAATTAGTGGAAAAGCTGCCCTATGACTAATTGTGCAGTGTAGGAAACCTGCACTGGTTCCTGCACGTTGAGGATCGTGGTGCTGTGTCCGTGGTGGGCAGCAGGACCAGGAGACCTCCAGAAAGAACAATCTCTTCCTTCATCAGCCAAGCTCTGCTCCTGGCTACAAACCCATCAAATGCCAAGTTCAGAGCATGCACAGGAAAACAGGGCAGAGAGAGAGGCTGAGTCCCCCTGGGCAGGGCACAGCCTTGGACGTGGAGGGGTCCTGGTGCCAAAAACCCTCCCAGCTGACTGTCAGTATCTCTCCAGGCTGCTCAGCTGTGGGTGATGAGGCAAGGCCTCCTTCCTGTGCTGTTCTGTGCCATGCCCAGATATGAAGGGCACAGTTATTATCTCCCAGATACATTAGGCAGCTGCAGAATGGAATTGGCAGAAATTGCCTTTCGGCCTGGCCAGAGGGTGTTTGGTGACACAGCAGAAAGGGGAAGTTGGCAAACAGCTGCTGGAGCAATCTCCTGCTCACAAACAGCTGTTTGCTCCTTCCCCTCCTGGCTGCCCTGCAAATGTGCTTGAGAATAGCTGTGGATTTCTCACAGTCCTCGTGGGAGGGGCAGAAGTGACAAGTGCAGAAGTGGCAAGTGCAGAAGTCACCTTCTGCAGCTTGGAATTGTCCTGGAAGAGCACGTGGGGTAAGGAGGTCTTGAACTTGGCCTGTAGTGCTGTGTCTGTAACAGCACCAAACCCTCTGGCTTTGGGTTCTTTCCTAGTAATGTTTTACTTTAATCTTGAATTTGAGATCTGTCCTCTTTCAGATGGTCTGAAGCTCAGAAATAAAACCTGTGACCCATCTTCTTGCTTCCCCTGTGCTCTCAAGCACCACTATTGTAAGTGAATATAACTTGCTGACTGCTCATATGCTCTGTTTTCTCTTCTTTAACCAGAAGTCCAAGAAGGGAGCATGGACCAGCCCAGTGGAAGGAGTTTCATGCAAGTTCTGTGTGAGAAGTACAGCCCTGAGAACTTCCCCTACCGCCGTGGGCCTGGCATGGGGGTGCACGTCCCAGCAACCCCACAGGGCTCACCCATGAAAGGTAAATTCTGATCTCTCTGAGCATCTGGGGAGTGCTGGGAGCAGTCAGCTGGAAGAGGAATCACCTTGAATTGCCCAGAAAAAGATCCATCACAATGTGGTGTTTTACTGGAGAGTTGAGAGACTGGAATACGACAAAGGCAGAAAGTGACTGAACTGGTTGCTGTAAAAAGCCAAATATTTTTCTATAGCATAACAGAATCAGCATTAGAGAATAGAAATGGAATGGAATGGAATGGAATGGAATGGAATGGAATGGAATGGAATGGAATGGAATGGAATAGAATAGAATAGAATAGAATAGAATAGAATAGAATAGAATAGAATAGAATAGAATAGAATAGAATAGAATAGAATAGAATAGAATAGAATAGAATAGAATAGAATAGAATAGAATAGAATAGAATAGAATAATTTGGCTTGGAAGGGACCTTCAAGATCACCAGGTTCCAGCCCTGTGAGTGGAAGATGGACCTAAGGCCCCTTGCAGTCTGTGTTTTGAGGGTATAGCAGTCCTTGGAGCTTTCCTTCAGGCCACTGATCCTATTTTATTATTAAAATCTTATCCAATTTTATTATGTTATCCTATTTTATTGTATTATAATAATCTATATATTGTACTATCTTATAGTATAATGATTTACTTATAAGTAAATAATAATTTACTTATCCTATTTTATTATATTATAAAATATCTAAATTTGAGGCTGGTTCCCGTGCCACCAGCTTGCTTTGATGCCTGCAGGGACAGGAGCGCAGTGTACACAGGAGGGGACATATTTCAGGCAGAGGGATGAGCTGTTGAATCTGTCATTTAGTGACAAATGCCTCAGTTGAACCTGCAGTGTACTTTGTCTTCTCAAGGCACAAATGCTTTGTGACCTAGTGGAGAATTCCCCTCTTCTGTGCTCCTGACCTTGCTGCCTCGAGGGAATTTAGCCAGATGTGTGTCTGAAGCTCTGTGCTGCTCATGGATGTCCTTGAGCCTCCCAGACTGCAGAATCTGTGTCACCATCTCCTCTGAATTAGATCCATGTGACACCTTTTAGTCTTCCCTCACGCTCTGATGTTGGCATTTAATTCTTGGTTTGTATGGGTGGGTCTGAGGTTCACGTTGATCCCATCAGAGCTGCCCCTTCTTTGTGTCACACATCTGCCCATCATGATCCCTAGGAATAATCCAAACTTCCATCAGGTCAATTCGTGTCATAACCAGCCCCAAAGGGGAAAACAGCCATGGAAATCAGCTGGATGAAGTTTCCAATAACTGGGTTTGACAGAGGAGAGAAAAGGGCCTGAGTTCAGCTGAGGATACGAAATGAGCAAGAACAGAACAATGGCCTGATGGAATGTTCAGTCAGTGCCCTCTCTGCAGGTAAATTTACCTCTCTCCTGCTCACCTGAGCTGAAAAGAGGCCCCATCATCAACCATGACTGAGACATGACTTACAAACACTGCATTAGTAATTCCCAAAGTGCCACATTATCCTTTAAAGAAGCCAAACACTTCTGAGCCAGAACTCTTGGAAACCCAGATGACTCCAGGTAATTGTTTGCTGCCAGAATCCCTTTCTAGTTGTGCAGCTGTCAAGTGTTCAGGAGAAAAGGGGGACCACCTATTTAGGAAAGAGCTTGTGGTTAGATTTTAATGGATTTTTCTGCTCCAGAGAGGTGGGAAAGCCATGTTGTACATGAAGGAGTGTAAGACTGATGGCTTGCCTTGCCTCAACGTGGATTTCTTCAATGGAATTTGTTTCCTGTTACAAACCCCCACCTTTTTGTCATGGTTTAGCCTTAGCACAGCGGGCTGTGATTGAGGTCCAAGCCCTTGGTTGTACATTTACCTGTCTGAGGAGGGGCTGAAGCAAAACCAAAGCACAAATGGAAAGGCAGTGCAGAGACCTGAGCTTTTGAATGAACTCTGAATACTCTGCACTGAAGTTTGGGAAGGGAAAGCTCAGAAAGGAAATGTTTAAATGCCTCCTAAGAAATGTTTAAATACCTCCTGGCTGTTACTAGGCCCAGGTGGGCTCAGGGCAGGAGGATAAGGGAGTCTGACTGTGCAGCTGGCACTCCCCTAGTCCTGTGTCCTATCTGCAGCAGCAGCTGCCTGGGGAAGAGCAGAAGTGGTGGCAAGCACTGATAGGAGACAGCCCATAAATGACAAAGGGCAGGCCTGAAATACACAGAAATACAGGGAAGAACTCAAGAGCACTGATAGGAGTGGTACATCATGTTTACAGCCAAGGCTTCAGGCTGGTGTCAGTTACAAAATCCCTGTTTAACCTGAAATCGGTGTAAATTCTGCTGTTACTGGTGGATTTCTCTTGCTGGCTGTAACATCCATGATTGGGGCTGGGTTCTGTAACTCCAAGGCAGTGCTGAGCAGAGGCAGCTTCTGTTTTTCCCCGTGCCAGACCGCCTGAACCTGCCCAGCGTGCTGGTGCTCAACAGCTGTGGCATCACCTGTGCCGGGGACGAGAACGAGATCGCCGCCTTCTGCGCCCACGTCTTCGAGCTCGACCTCTCTGACAACAAACTGGAAGACTGGCACGAGGTAAAATGGTGATGGGCACTCACTGGGTACCCTTCACAGCTATTACTGACTGCAAATGCGTTGCATCGAGGAGAGTTGCATTTTTGTGGCTTCTTTCTCATCTCTGAAGATGATGTTTACTTACTTTGACAGCAACTGAGCAATACATGTGATGAAATTAATCCCGTGTGGCACTTCACTCCTGTACCTTGTGACTTAGTCTTGGCCCGTGGGTGGGAAATCTGTATTTTTATTTTATTTCATCATGCAAAGCACTGGAACTGGCATTTCTAACACCAAGAAGTTAAGGAGAAGTTTAGTTTTTAACAGAGTGGCAGTTGATTCCAGCTTTGCCACTGTGATGGTGGGAAAGGTATTAATTCCGTCTCCTTGTTGCCTTATCTGCAGAAAAGATTTAATAATATTTACCACAAAGGGTATTTCTGCAGCCTCATTAATTAATGCTGAATGCTGTTGTAAAATCCTTTGAAGTGCTTGAGTGAAATAATGCTCAATAAATGCAATGTAACAGGAGTGAAACAATCTCAATCCATTCAAGTGTCATTAAGTTCCTCACTGGATTATGCTGTCCTTTTATGTTAGTGTTTATTGTTGGAAATATGTGGAAAAAATCAGGATATCATGGGCTTTTGTGCCCAGATTGTCATGTCTTTAGGCAGGGAGGGAATGCAGTGTTTGCAGTGTCCCAGCTCAGTGGGGCTGAGCTCGTATCTGGTCACACACTGGTCACTCACAAGCTGCACATCCCACACCCTGCAGTCTCTGCAGGCTGCCCTGGCACTGAAAGGCTTCTGTGTGTGCTGTCCCCTTCCTCTGAGACAGGATTAAATTTTCACAGCCCATCCACACCAGATAAATATCGTCCCACCCCCAAAACCTGCCCGTGCTGGGGATTCCAAATCTCTAGGTAGCCTGTTCCCATGCTTAGCTAATAACCTCATAGGCCAAACTGTGTAATTTAAGTCTCCTGTGCTGCAATTTCAGCCAATTTCTGCCTGCCCTGTTCTCAGCAGGCAGGAGGAGCATCATCACTGTTCCTCATACAACAGCTTTTTATACCCACTAAGAAGAACTTTAATGCCTCCTTTCCTTATTATAGTATAATACTGAAAAAAATACCCTTCTTCCAATCATCCATCATAAGCCATTTATTTCCTAAATCCTGTGTTTTTGGTGGACTGATCTCATTTAATTTGCCTATTTAATTCCTGATGTGCAGCACCTAAACCATGACCTCACCTGAGAGGAGGCGTGGGGTGAGGCAGACTCTTTGCACACTTGAGTTCATGAAAGAATCCCCCTTTGCCAACAGCTGGGCCATTTATTAATTTCTATGTGCCCATCTCTCCTTTGCCAGCAGTTGGGCCCTTTATTGACCTCTCTCTGCCCATCTCTGCCCATCCCAAAGCTTCGTGCAGTGGAGCTCTTCTCTGACTCACAATTATTTTCTGCATGATGTCCGCTGGTGTTGGAAACTGCTTCCCACTCAGTTCCCCAGTCAAGGAGGGAACTGGGCACTGGCTGAGCTCTGTGGGAGCAGTGGGAAGCTGCACAAGTGCTCAGTGCAGCCCATGGAGGCAGGAGAAGTGGCCATGGCCCCTGTGAGGGAGAGCTCCCTGGAACATTCAGCTGCTCAGCCTTGGGGTGGAGGTGGATTTATGACCTCTCCCCAGGGACTGCCTTTCTCTTATCAAGCTGCTCCTAGAGTGTAATTAAATGAACTCTTAAGGAGAATGAGCAAATCCATCTAGATCAGGAATGCCTGGAGTATGAATTACAGGCAGATATCCCTATGTTTTTCCCCATATCATTGCTTTGTGATGATTCCACAGGGCCCCTTTTAGGAGGTGGAATATTATTGCCAGAGGTCCGATTACTGCCTGATATACATTTCTTAATTTTTTTTTTTCTTCCCTCCCCACTTAGGTCAGTAAAATTGTGTCCAACGTCCCCCACTTGGAGTTTCTAAACCTGAGTTCCAACCCTCTCAGTTTGTCCGTTTTAGAGAGAAGTTGCGCTGGGTCTTTCGCTGGCGTCCGCAAACTTGTGCTCAACAACAGCAAAGCTTCCTGGGAAACAGTGCACACCATCCTGCAGGAATTACCAGAGTAAGCCTGGCTGCCTGGGGGTTTGCTGCACTCAGGTCAGGGCGGGTTATGGGGTCGTGTGGTGAGGGGTGGGGGGTTGTGAGGATGCAAACATCATCAGGCAGAAAGGGAGCTGGGGGTGCTGGTTGGATATGAGCTGGTTGGATATGAGCCAGCAATGTGCTCAGTGGCCAAGAAGGCCAATGGCTCCTGGCCTGCACTGGGAATTGTGTGACCAGCAGGAGTAGGGAGGTCATTCTTCCCCTATACTCGGTGCTGGTGAGGGCACACCTTGAGTGCTGTGTCCAGTTCTGGGCCCCTCAGTTCAGGAAGGACATTGAGATGCTTGAGCACGTCCAGAGGAGGGGCTTGGAACACAAACCCTGTGAGGAACGTTTGAGGGAGTTGGGGTTGTTTAGCCTGGAGAAGAGGAGGCTCAGAGGTGACCTCATTGCTCTCCACAACTCCTGAAGGGAGGTTTAGACAGGTGGGGTCGGTCTCTTCCACCAGGCAGCAACTGGCAGAACAAGAGGACACAGCCTCAGCTACCTCAGGGAAGGTTTAGGTTGGATATTAGGAAAAATTTCCACTGAAAGAATAATAAAATACTGGAATTGTCTTCCCAGGGAGGTGGTGGAATCGCCATCTCTGGATATATTTAAGAAAAGACTGGACTTGGCACTTGGTGCTGTAGTCTGGTTGTGGTGTTAGGGCACAGGTTGGACTTGATGATCTCAGAGGTCTCTTCCAACCTCATTGTTCTGTGATTCTGTGATCAGTAGAGGAAAAGGGATGTTTTCCTTTGGGAGTTTGGGAACTCCAGGTGAGTGCTTTGCATTGTCCTAAAAACCAAACTTGGGTGGTGCTGCAAAGCCCAGGCCTTCTCCTCCTCCAAACCTAAATACCAGAGATGTGTAATGACCCCAAAAATGTAGGAGGGTCACACTTCCCTCTGAGTGACTGTGCAGTGAATGGTGCAGGACATACCTGTTAAATGGGAGGTACCTCTGAGGGTCTGGCCACTTGCCAAGGAATATTTCATCCTGCTTTTCTGTGCTAAGGTGTTGATTTCTGTGGTTTGGTCACTGGCCACCTTGGCATTCTGCTCCCGGGGGTGTCCTCAGTGGCTTCGTTTTGATGACAGATCCCTCTTTGTGTGGCTTTGTAAGCAGAGATGATGACAGCAAAATGTCCTGCATGGCCAACCCGCACTTCTCTGGGATTGTGAGAGTTGTCTGAAAACTTAGTGGGACCAGTTCTTTCTTTACTGGGATCTGTTCTTTCTTTAATGGGAATCTTTGGCAGTGATATGAGGGAAAAAATCATCATCATTGTTGTATCAAAACCCCATTTTAAATTAAGCTGAGAGCACTGGCAGCAGGTCCCAGCACTGTTGGAGCTGGGTTGGTGGCTTGTTGGGCACAGAAGCAGAAGACAACCCCAACCAATCTGTTACTCAATACTGGGAGAGACTCAGGGAACACTTAAAAGTTTTTTTTAATCTCTGAAAATATGGATGGGAGCAGAGATGTAATTGAAACACTCTGTGTGGAGTGCTCAAAGGCCTTCTCTGCACTGAGGTTCTCAGAGCTGTTACAGAAAGTTGTGTTAAAATCACATAAAATTGATAACATGATCCTTTCTGCCCTGTGCAGCTTGGAGGAACTCTTCCTGTGCCTTAATGACTACGAAACAGTGTCTTGTTCTCCAGTTTGCTGTCAGTCTCTCAAGCTACTTCACATAACTGACAATAATCTTCAAGACTGGACTGAAATTCGAAAGTTGGGAATTATGTTTCCATCACTGGACACACTTATCCTGGCTAACAACAACCTCACCACCATTGAAGAGTCAGAAGATTCCCTGGCAAGGCTCTTCCCCAACCTAAGATCCATCAACTTGCACAAGTCAGGTGAGAGCCTGGAAGCTGGGATGAGTTTTTTTGCTTGATCAGTCTCTCCACTGTATAGATGACAAGCAGTGAACTTGCCCATCTGTGGGATTTTCCTGCTGCTTTGGGTAGTCAGTCATATCAAAAGATGTGTCAGCAGTGTGGACCAGTTAATCAGAATGAGCTGGAAAGGTTTTTTATGTTGGTAGTTTCCCTCTGTTTCCCATCCTTGCCTCAGGTACTCCTGGCTGGGGAAGGATAAATAAATGTCTGGCAGTGGAGGGGATGAAAGAATCCCATTTTCCCTTTATTCCCTGTTTTATCTCGGGTAAAATGAGGCCATGTGCAGGTGTGCAGCGTGGATCAAGCATCCCCAGCAGAATCTGTGCTCAGTCATTGCAGCCTCACAAGTGCTGCTGGCAGCTGCTTTTACACTCCAGCCCCAGAGAATTTTCAGCCAACGCTCCAGAAAGAGAATGAGCAGTTGGAATATTGGGAAGAGCACCCTGTGCTGGGAGAGAAGGAGCTGCAGGGCAGCTCGTGGGGGCTGTGATGTGTTTGTGTATGACACATACACCAGAAACTCATCTGCAGGAGTGCTTCATGCACCAGCAGCTTTTGTTCTTTACAGCTTTATATGCTGTGCAAGTGCTGCTGAAGTGTCAGGCATGTAGAAGGGACTTTATTAACATGCCCTACAATGTAAGCATCAAGGAATCCCTGTAATAAAAGCTTAACTAGAGGAGGAAAAGCCTGTTAAGCTGCATTTGAAAGCACTGTCTCACCGAGGAACAAGTGCTTCTCTGGTAAGTAGTTTTGCAGTTTTGATGCCAGGTGCTTAAGAACTCTGGGCTCGGTGTTGCATTTTGATGTTTTGGGAGCTGAAAGTCAAATAGGAATCCCAAGGAGCTTGTTAAAACTTTTTGGGGGTTTTAGAGAAAGCTGCTGCACTCTGAAGTTCTGGCAGGCGAGCACTCCAAGATGAGTTGTGTTGATCTCACCACACAATCACGGCTCTGCTGTGCTCAATCCTCAGCTTTGTTTTCTTTTGCCCTCCCTTCTTGCTTTGTTATCCCAAATGTCAGGTCTTGAGGGAGCTGCAAATGAGTTAAAACCTTTTTCATTAAATGGCTGGATGGCTTCTGGGACTGTTTCACCATTGGGTTGTGAGCAGAAATGGGACCCAAGGTGGTTGTGTGTGTTGAGGTAAAGCCATTTGATGGCCGTTTAGTGATGCCTGGAATGAAAGAAGTGCTGGTGGCTTTAACAATCTGAAGGCAGCATCCCTTTATAGACACAACATCACTGATGCTGGTCAGTCCCCAGCAGTGAGGCCAAGGGCTGAGTGGTCCATAAAAGAGCCATGGAGAGATCCTTATACACTTGGAAACAGCACAAGAGAATTTCAGCTTCCTTATCTTGTAAGCAAGTGTTGATTTTTTTAGCAGCACATTGTGAGCAAAAAGCCAATTTCTCAAAGGAGCAGCAGTGACACTCTCCTGTCACATAAGTTCTTTGGCTGTGTCTGATTATCTTGGATCCATTATGTGTTTTCTGTGTTTGTTAACACAGCTCTTTCCTCCTGAGCAGGTCTGCATTGCTGGGAAGACATTGACAAGTTAAATTCTTTCCCGAAGCTCGAGGAAGTGAAATTGCTGGGAATTCCTCTGCTGCAGTCTTACACCACCGAGGAACGCAGGAAGCTGCTAATAGCCAGGTCTGTTGGTTTGTTCTGCTCAGCAGAAACATGACAATGCAAGGAAGGGGTGGGAGCAGGTAATCAGAGGAAGAGGCTGGCAAGAGATGAAGCTCTGTGTGAATGGAGAAAGATTGGAGCTCGATTTGTGGGGTGGGAGCAGCTCATCAGAGGAAGAGTTCTGTGTGAATGCAGAAAGATTGGAGCTTCTTTTTTTGAAAAGTCAAAGATGTGAAAATGTTAAATCTGACTGCTCTGCTTCTCAGGGGATTTTGGGAGGCTCCTACATATCTGTGCACATGTGGTGAAATGAAAATGCCTGATTTTGGGTGTTCTTGACAAATTACATGGAACTTTCCTGCCCTCTCAAAGGGATTGAGCTTCCTGGCAGGAATTCTCACGTGTTAAAGCTGAGTCACTTTGATGTGACTGCCTTGTTGGTGAGCCTGTCTGGGCTCCCCTCCTGGCTGACTGTGGCTCTTGGGGTGTGCCTGCAGGTTGCCATCCATCACCAAGCTCAACGGCAGCATCGTGGCCGACGGCGAGCGGGAGGACTCGGAGCGCTTCTTCATCCGCTATTACATGGAGTTCCCCGAGGAGGAGGTGCCCTTCAGGTAGGAATTCTCTGTCCTGCAGTGGAGAGCAGGGACAGAAGGGTGCTGACTGGCCAGCTGATGGGAAATATGTGTCAGCTGTTCCATGAAAAAGACACCCCTCACCTTCCTCCAGCTTTGGCTCCTTCAGTCTGTTTGGGCTGAAATTGTTGTGTTTTTGTTGTCTGATGACATTTGGGGTCAGTCCTGAGTCACATTTGGTCTTAAAAGTGCCTGTGTCAAGTGCCATTAAACAACAGGGACTGTTCAGTTCATGACCTTCATTGTTTCCTGGGCTCTCCCACAGCTCCCTTCATAATCCACCTGCGTTTGGGAGTGCCAAAGCCAGGACACATCCTGCTCTCCACTGCCAGGCCAGAGCATCTCATCCTCTGGACCATCTGGTGTGTGGAATGTGGCTGGCAGTGGGAAGCTGTCCCCTCACTTTCAGGCCTGCAAATCACAAGTCTGATGGGTTTTCTTTGCCAAAAAAGTACATCCAATGATCCGTTCATCTTGGTAAACTAATGAACTTGGACAGATGCTGTTCAGTCTGTGTCTTTTTTGTGCCAGCATCCACTTACTGCTTTTAATGGGCTGAGGAGGGATCATGGAGCATCAGGCCACTGCCTTTACCTGCCCTCTGCCCTAAACCCTCACGTGCTTTTGGACAGCAAAGCTTTGTTTTCCTTTTTTTACAGAAAAGGGGTAGGACAGGAGTGTGTGTGTGACTCTGAGGGCACAGACAGAGGTGGGGACACGCTGAAGGTCACAGGCATGGCCTGGCATGGATGACAGAGGTGCAAATGGCATCTGCTCAGTGTTTTCTCTGCTTAACACTCAGCTAAAATGCCTCTTGTTTTTCTAAAGCACTGGATATGTGACTTGCCAATCCAGCAAGGGGGTGGGAAGGCTGGAATGGGGAATGAGGGCATGGAATTTTGTGTAAATATTAATAGGGTCGGTGATTACAGTATTTGTTAAAAGCATGCTGGGGTCAGTTCAGAGGCAGAGGGCACTCATGCAGTCAGGGAGACAAGACAGCTGGTCCTTTTTCTGAGGACAAGTCCTGACTTGTAATTTTAAAAGGCCTTGAAGCGTAAAAATTGAAGGAAGTATTGGAAGGGATAACAGCAGAATGAAGGAGAGAGGAAGGGGAAGGGGAGACTGGGACTGTGAGCTCATGGTGCTGCTCCCAAAAGAGATTAATTTCCATAACATTTCATATTTCTTGTGTTTGGTGGTGACAGAATGTCAGTGATCCATATATTGCTGGGAAGGACACAGTGGGGTACGGCTTTAGGCGCTCATGGTGTTTAGGACATGGGTTTTGAGAACAGGCTGTGTGTTACACATCACCACACACCACTGGGATTGGTTTGCAGGTGGGATCTCATGTAAAAGTTTACTGACATCTCATCCATCCCAGAAAACCAGGCTAATTTTGAGCAGCATGCCAGCTTTCTGCTAGAAAATCACCCCCCTCTCAGACTTCTTAGCCTTTAAACACTGGAACTGCCTTTGTCATGGTCAATGGCCTCTTTGTCCGAATCCCTTCATCTGTGCAGCGTTTCCAAGAGACTTCTGCAGCTACCAGAGAGGGTTGTTGTGTCCTGGAGGGGTTGGGTGCCACTGCAGACTCTTTCCTAGTGAGGCTGCAGATGGCTGAGGGTGTCCCCAGTGCTGGATTTCAGTTCCTGAACCCACAATCAGCAGCCCTTGTGCGAAGGGAGAGCTGGCATTCCTTGCAGAGGGATTTTGTGTCTGTTTGCTGCTAAAGCTTCCCCTTCCTCGCTCCCAAATCTGGTGTGGTGGCTCCAGAAGTGGTTTGCAATTAGAAACTAATCAAGACACACATGTTGTGCCTGGGGTCTGACATCTGCATTGCAGTGCTGCCTCGAGCAGAGGGAGAACAACTTGAGCAGGGAGAACTTCCCAGTGGGAGCAGCCTCCCTCCAGACTGGCAAGGTGCAGCCTGTGATAAGCTCTGTCACCAGAGCCCCCCTGCTTGCTGCATTGCTGTCTGCAGCTGGAAGGGCTCAGGCAGGCAGGGAAATGGAAGGAACAATTTATCTCTGTGGCTGTCGTGGCTGCAGGGAGCGCCGGGTGCACAATCCAATATTGGCTGTCTTGTGGAGTGACGTCCTCGTGTCTGGGGGGTTTTAATGAGCCCTCTGCTTGTCTGCTCCGCTGTTTATCTGCACAGTATCACAGACACTTTCAGCCAGGCTCAGGTCTTCAGCAGCCTCAGTGTCTGCCAGGCTGCAAGGGGTGATTAGAAAAGTCTCCAGGGTGCCTATTATTGGGGTCCAAAACATCCATGTACCTTGGTCCTGACTGATTTGAGGCAGCCACTCACTCACACGCCCCACTTTCTTTGCAGCTCACATACAAAGGAGGAAGGTGCAAAGCTCATTCTGCCCTTCCTCAACACAAGAAAATTTCAGACAGCGTTGCTTGACCCACCACCTATTTACAGCACATTTTTGGATAATCATGGCTCTCTCATGGTGGTTCTCTCTCTCAGCTTGTCTGAAATTTGTCCCCCTCTTCATCCTCTCCCCACCATCAGCCTGGTTCACTTAGTGCATGAATCACAACAGTAATTGTGGCTGGCCCAGAAGCTGCTGCTGGTGTGCAGCAGCAGAGATGCTGAGGGTTAAAGGGATGTCCCAAAGGGGGCTGAGGGCTTGGAGCAGCAGGAGGTCTCCCTCTTTCCCTCTTTGCTGCTGGCAAATCCTTCCAGAGAAAGAGAAGCCCTCCGCAGTGCTGACACCTTGGCTGGCATTTGCTCTGCCTGCAGGTGGGTTGGACGTGGGGAGTGTTGTTTTCTCTCAGCACTAATGGCTTTTCCAGATAAATGGGGCTGCTCCCACCACCCCGGGGCACCATCCCACCTTTGGATGCTCTGGTGGTGTCCGTGGGACTGGGGAAATCCTAGTGCCTTGTGGCTCTTAGCTCAGTGCCCAGCACACAGAGGGGCTGCTGTTCTCCAGGAACATTCCTGCCTCCAGCAGGACTCCCTGGGGTCCCACAGCCTGCCAGATCCCACCGCTGCCCGGGGGCTGTGCCACCGCACCCATGGGGAGCACAAAGCCCTTTCTGTGCCGGCGCTCTGAAACCTTACCTGTCCTCGGCAGCTCTCAGCCTTTGTCATCCCAACCCCATTGTGTTTTGTGCTGCCGTTCCTCCTCTTTCCCAGCCAGGCAGGGAGATCCAGCCTGGCCCGATGGGAGCGATACCAGGGGGTGGGGGTGACACAGACTTTCCATTGCAGGGACCTTGGGAAGAGCACTCGGAGAACTTGGCTGCAAGGTGACAAGTGCAGTGTGTGCCTCTGCTAGTAAAGTTCCCATCTTGTTTTAGAGCAGGTGTGAGGGATCAGCTGGCAAGAAGTGCCCTGTTTGTTATCAGCTCTCAAAGTGTGCAGCAGCTCACCTTGTTTTGGTGATTTGATGATCCTGTACTCAGTGGAGTGTAACATTTGGGCCTTTTGGAAAACAGCAGGAATGTCTGACGATCAGTTAAGTCATGAGGCCACAGGTACTGGGAATCTAAACTGAAGGCTGTGTCCTTTCAGTGAGCACTGCCTCGGTTCTGGCACTCTTTAGTGAAGTGTTTTCACTGCAGCAGGAGGTGTAGAGTTGTGAGCACAGCGTCCTTCTTTCTTCCAAATCCCACTGCAGCCACGGCTGGGATTTCTGAAACTGTAGGAGCCCAAACTTTGTTGTCAGGAAGCTGTTTTGAGACCAGTCAGCTTGAACATCTCAGGCTGGTGGTAACTTCACCTTCCTCAGCAAGACAGGTTTCCCTAGTGAGACACTGAACTCACGTCAGTGCCACGCTGCAGCCTGTGGGACAAAGTGACTGGGGTGCTTGGGCTTTCTGGGCTTCCAGCTGGAATCAGGGTCTGTGTTGTCTCATGTGGGGAGCACTCAGACCTGGGAGATGTGCACTGCCTGTACCATAACTCTGGGCTTGTTGAATTCCCCAGGTATCACGAGCTGGTCACCAAGTACGGGAAGCTGGAGCCCTTGGCAGTGGTGGATCTGCGGCCCCAGAGCAGCGCCAAGGTGGAGGTTCACTTCCAGGACAAGGTGGAGGAGATGTCCATCCGCCTCGACCAGACTGTGGCAGAGCTGAAGAAGCACTTAAAAACTGTGGTGCAGCTGTCAACAAGCAACATGCTGCTCTTCTACTTGGACCAGGAAGCTCCTTTTGGTCCCGAGGAGATGAAATACAGCTCGCGGGCGCTGCATTCCTACGGCATCCGGGATGGGGATAAAATTTACGTGGAGCCCAGAATGAAATAGCCTTTTTGCCCACACCCACACGCCCCCACGCACCCACACACATGCATTGAGGAGTTTTTTGCAAGGTTTTTATTTCGGTTGGTTGGTTGAGGTTTGGTTGTGTTTCTGTAGCAGGTAATTTCTTAGCCCGGAGGAAGTGCCCTGATCTGAGAACCATGCCCACCATCCGCTGCAGGTGACCTTGAGGTGACAATTGACTTCAGGACGTGTGTTTCAGTGTGGGCAATACCTTGATGTTTCCTTTGATGCTCCGGTATACTCGTGATTTGGCATGAATGGTCAGTTGTTCAAGCTAAACAATGCCAGGGTCCATAAGGGAGGAGACAGCTCGGTGCAGAATTTGACCTGTTGTTTTCTTTTCCTAAATTTTTTGGTGTTTTGCTCCACCAGATCTCCCTTTGGCCTAGCTATCCAACTGTGGCTCGAGCTTGCTGTAGTATTTTCTTGCAGCTTGGTGCTGTCTTTTGTTGTGCTCGAGTTCACAGGAAAGATCTCCATCAGTATTCTGCTTGATTCAGAGCTCAGGTACTTTAGTGCATCCACTTCACTCCACTGGTTTGCTTTCTGTGAGTGCACAACATGGAGGAAAGAAAAAGAACTTCCCAGAAAGAAACTTTCTTTTCAAAGTGCACGCTCTACATCCACCTGATTTTGGGGGGAAAAAAAAGAGATTTTGGCTGCTGTACCCATCTCATACGGTGCCTGCAGCCTGTGGGGATAAAGGGTGTGTTGGAAAGTGAATTTTGGGAGGTGGTGGATGAGCATTGCATTGGAAGGGCTTTTAGAACAACAGGTCAACGTGGGGTTGAAGAGCAGCTTCCCCTGTTGTCCATCCTGATGCTGAAGAGATCCTCCGTGCACTTCACCTTGTACCAGTGGGTGCTGCAAGTGGAATGGCTAAAATTCCTCTCCTGGGAGAGAGGAAGAGTCAAGTTGAAGTTTGTGTTTTGTTGCTGTTGCACCAGTTCAAACCTAGCACTTTCCCCTGGCCGGGGGTCCCTGCGCAGGGTCCGAACTCGGAGGATGCGTTGGCTGGGATCAGCCTTGGCTCGGATCAGCCTCTGGAAGTGGAGGAGCAAAGCAGCCGGACTCACCTCGGGTGTTCAGAGGTTTCCTCTCCTGCCTTCCCCACGCGCCCCTCGTAGGCATCGCGTGCTGCTGCTTCACGTAGGCCCCGTTTTCTACTGCAGAGCAGATTCCCCTGCCTGCTCAGTGAAATCCTTCCTTCTCCTTTCGCTTTCCTGTGTCTTCCCCGCTCCAAGTTCAAGACTTCCCCAATTTCCTGGTTACAAGCAGCTGCTCAGCAGTTTTTGGAGCTGTGCAGAGAGGGCTCTAGTTACACGTGAACTCCTGACCTTCATTTTGAAATGCTCCCTTTATCCCCACGTGCACTTTCTTTCCCAGGATGCTTTTTCCCACATCACCGAGCTCCTTTGGTATTCTTGGAGTTGTGTATTTCTCTTCACATTTTACCTGGATTGTGGGGTGGGATCATTGGGGAGGGGACAAAGTATTATTATCTCATAATCTTCAGGTTTAGGATGTGGGGATTGTCCAGAGGGGATTAGTTCCTTACCCAAAGCAAGGATTAAAACGGGAGGATTTAAAACAAGTTACTAATTTGTGCCTCATACCCCTGCCAAAAATAGCAATTTCTTGGCCCCGTTGAGGTGAGCAATAGTGAAGGGAGTGAGATTTTCCATAGGTAGCATAGATTTTCCATAGATCCGTGGTATCTGTTAACTAAACAGCAGGGAGATAGTGGCAGTATAACATAAAATGATGCTTTTATAAGCTAGAGCTTTACTGAAGATGTATTTTCCATTTGGGCAGCGAAAATAATTTGCTGCCTGATAGCAGAACCCTTAAGCCAACACTTCTGTATGATATATACATACCTACCAATAGGAAAAGTTGTGGTTAATAAGATATTTTGTTATAAAGCAAAGTTTTATGAAGATATGGTTGTTTAATATTAGAAACCTATTTCAGCCCTTGACCTCCAGTGTAAGTAGGTTTTCCCTGAGTGGCTGCAGAGTCCGAGGCAAGCGACCTATGGGGATGCAAAAGTATCTCTGACCCAATTTTCCAGAGCAGTAATTGCCTCTGTGGGTGTATTTATGGCATTGCACCTGCCATTAGTGAGATGCTGTAACTCTTGACCAACTTCCTCAGCACAATTAAATGTCTGGCTTTCAGAGAAGGGAATAAACAAAGGCCATTAAATGTGGAATGGGATGATAAAGAAGGGCCAAGAACGTGCTTTTAAGTTTGTTTGCCCACTAAAAATTGGGCTGTCCATGGAGGGATCGGTGCTGTCACCAGCTCAGAACTGGCAGTAAATGCTGCTTTTTTTTTTGTGACAGACCTGGTGGGAACTGGAAGATGGAAAAAGAGAACACAGAAGGTTAACAAGTGCTGGGATTTGGTGCTGACACCCAAACCTGCTCCCCTGGTCCGTTCAGGGTATGAAATCACCACCCTGCCACTTCTCCAGGGAAAGGTTTTTCTCAAGGCATTCACCTTGTGTGCGATGGTGGAGCAGGCGTGGGGCAGAAACCAAAAGTCTTGGTTGGCTTCCCAAGGAGAGGGACTAAGCCCAAAAGCCAGAGAGAGTTTGTGTGTGCAGATGATCAGCTGTGGGAAGTGGGACCAAACAGCACACAGGGATGTGGCAAAATACCCCAAATCATGACACCTTGTGGGGTAGGGTCCTGTGTGTGTGCCACCCAACAGGGGACCAGGTCCTGGGGAGAGAGGAGAAGGTTCTGAGTGGGAGAGGTCCCTGGGTCTGTCCCATCCGCTGAGAAAACAAAATAGATGTGCAAGCTTGCCTGGCTTGTGTGTCCTTCTGTCTGAGGGCACTTTTGTTGTGCTGTTCCTGCTGGTTCTTGCATCAAAGTCTGCCACGGGCAGCCCGTGCAGAGCACCTGGGTGACAGCTGTATACCAAAGTGCCACACGCCGTGCTGTGTGTTTTTGGAGACATTCCTGTTCAATATCTGTGTTTTTGGCCAGATGTTCCAGGCAGATTGCTGTTATGAATCTGCACAGGGTGCTGGCTGTCCTCTGCTCGCTGGCTGGGGTTTGTAACCTCGTTTTTTGGGAGCTGCAGGCGTGCTGGTGGCAGGTGTGACCCGTGTCTCCCTGTGGCCTCTCCTCCTCGGGGCTGGAATCCGATGGAGGTGCCGGCTCTGCCTCCTCCTTGCCAGTGAGATTCTGTAGGTTCTGTTCGTGTGCAAGGTTTGAGAATGCAAACGAGGTGCTTAAAGCAGTCCAGAGGCTAAAATCTGTATTCCTGTGCCTGCCTCTCATTTGGATGTGGCACTTTTTAGGCAGCAGAGAGACGCCTTCCCCAGAGCAACGTTAGAGGGGCTCAGCCCTCTCGGGCCTTTCCCTCTGTGATTGCTTTTCTGCAGTTCCTGGAAACTTCAGCTATAATTTATACATTAAGATCTATTCTTGCTCCCTGTTAATGTTGCATCCATATGTAATTTCGAAGAACTGTAAGTCCATCTGGTTTTTTATTCTGGTTTCTCTCCCAGGGGATACACCTCCCGCTCCCACAATTTGCCTTTGGTTTGCTCGCAGACTTTAGTGGTGGAATTCAGGCCAAAATAGGTCATTGGTTTGGATCAGTTCAATAAACTTATGTAAGTTTTTACACTAAAACCCCCAGTGTCCTGAGCTTTGCACTTTTGTGTCCCGTGAAAAGATGTTCCCTGTTATCACCCCAAAGAAGTGTTTGGTTGTTCAGCGCTGCATGATGGGAACATCCCTGCCAAAAGAAGAGAGGCTGGAAGACAAAATCTTCCCCAAAGAGTCAGCGAGACCTAATCAAACTTCATCAGTGCTCACTTGCCCAGGACAAACAGGACCAGAATATTAAACTGACAAAGGAGCAGAGGGAAACCTGTTTTCACCAGTTTTCTCTCTGTTACAAAACAGAATGAGGAGAATCAATTGATTTTCCTGGAGCTGGTTGTGTTTAAAATGTATGGGAGGGAAGGGAAGAGCTGGGATACAGGCTGGAATTAATCTGCCCCTGGAATATCAGTCAGTGCTGATATTCTGCCCTCCTAAAATAGCTGTTGGCTTAGAAAAAGGTAAAAATAAATTTAAAAATGAAAGATTCCTGCTAGCAAAGCCATGCTTGGAGGATGGAGGGAAAGTAAATTCTGGGATTCGCTGTGGAGCTGCCTGGTGCCCTGATGTGCTAGGAGGTAAGAGACAGCTTTTTGGGGGAACCTTGCTGAACACACTGCCAGGAGCACCCAGAGGAAAAAATCAGGGTTTCTTGGGCTGCTGGCATTCCTGTCTTCACTCTGTTCCTGAAAAAGAGTGGGGAGGACAAGAGGAATTAAGACCTCCTAGCAGGGAAAATAGGGAATAAAAGGCCCTCACCCCAAATGTCAGAGGGGGAAATGAGCCAAGCTCTGGCTGTTTTCCCACTGCTGGGGTTGGAGCAGTGCCTGTCTGACCTGAGCCTTGCTGCAGGCTGAAAAATCAGCTTTAATGTGGCTCTGCAGGTGGATCCTTCACCCCCTGGCTGCTGTTCCAACGTGGCTATCAACCAACTCAAAGCAGTTGAAATCTTTTCTGGGGTACAGATTGGACTGAAATGGTGCCAGAGGCAGGGAAAATCCCTGTGGAAACTGCAGCTGTAGGAGTGAAAATGATAATAATGCCAGTGAAGCTCCCCACCAGCACCAGTGAGGGTGGAAATGGGAACAAGGAAACCTTCTGTGGGCCGGACTGGGTGAGCTTTTCCTTTTCCACCTGTAAAAAAAGCAGGACTTGGATGGCAAAGCAACTCCATGGAAACTTCAGGGCAGGGCCTTTGAACGGCACTTTAAGCCTAGCACTGTTTAATGCTAATCCTGTAACTTTATATAGATGGGTGGTTTTTTTTCCCCCCTTTACACAAAGGAGGAAGGGGCTCAGTTCTTCTGAGGGTTGGGTTTTCTGTTCCCTGAGCAGCAGAGCTGCGAGCCCAGCTCTGTCTCTCTGCCATTTCCATCTGAATCCACCTGAAGGGGGTGAGCTTTTGGGGAAGAAAGAGGCTTCTCTCCCTCTCCAGGCCAGAATTTGATCTCCAGATTAGCCTGCTGGTTATCAACAGAGGAACAACAGTTGTGATTGCAACTCAACACTGCTCCAGCCTTGGAAGAGCATTGAGGAAAACGGAGTTTTCAATTGGGAGAGCAAAGGACTGAGCCATCGTTTCAGTCATCAGCAATAATTGGCATGGCAGGACGGGCATGCATTCTCCACTGACATAGGATTTCGCCCTGCTCTACCAAGACTGGTCTAAAATTTCAGACCTGATTGCTCCTCTAGCCTACAAACAGGTTGGTAATTTTTTTTTTCCATAGCTAAATAATTGTATTTTTGGATGGGATGTGTTCAGTAGCGTGTTCTTTGCTGTCTGTCCTGCTTTGCTCTTATCCTCGCCCTGCCACAGTCCCCACTGGTCACTCTCTGCTAATGAGACTCTGATTTACAATCTGTACAAAATTCTGCCACTCACCTTCCCAAGACAAGGAGTGTGCTAAAACTTTTCCTTGGTGGAATGAACTTTTCCCCATGGAGTTGATGTGACCAAAGAAGTTTCCTTCAGCTGTGTTCCCAACTCTCCGAGTAACGGGAGTGCTGTGGGATAAATGATGGGATGTTCCCCTGTAACTCTGTGCTCTGTGGAATTAGAAGCAGCTGGATCTGTGGATCCACATTTTCCATAAAAACAGATCCATGGGGAGAACACAAAGAGATGCTGGGCTTTTAGGGAGATTTTTAAAAATCCCAGATTTTCCTGGGAGCTCTCCCTGAGCCCTGCCCGTGCGGAACGAGCGCAATCGACGGGCGAAGAAATCACAGCAGGTGTTTTAGCAATACTTTCTATTGGATTAATAATGAGTAACAAATTGCATTAGGCACAGAAGGAATTAGAGCTGGCACAGGATTTTGCTTTCCTTTTGGGTCTGCACTCTCTGTGTCCCCCACTGATTCCTGCACGAGGAGCTGCCCAGCTGGGTAAATGTTTGTGCTCCTTCCACACCCATCCAGCCCCAGGGATGGTGCTGGTGGCAGCCTGGGCAGAGGATTAGCTCAAGTTGAAGCCCTGGACCATGAGAGCTCATCACAGCTCTGCTGCCTGGAGCAGAGCTGCTCCCCTGGGATCAGCCAGGAGTGGCCATCCCTGCCCTAAGCAGATCAGGGATTGCTCAGAAGAATAAGGAGCACACGGAGAGCTGTGGCTGTTCACAGCTCCCAGACATGAAATGAGCTCTTCCAGGTGTTTCTGGGCTTCCTTTGGCAGTGATTTGCTGTCATCACCAGGGGTTTCAGGGCTGCCTGGCAGGTGAGGGACCTCACCTGAAGCTCTGGAACATCCACGTGTCAGCAGCAGTCAGGCAGCTTCGGGAATCCCCTCAAGGATGAGTTTTCCTGCCAATGTGATCATGGCTGGGTTTGTCTCCTTCCTGCAGGATGAACAGGAGATCATTTCTGGGAGCCTGGGTGGCCCTTTTGGTGATAACAGCGCAGCAGCGAGGTGAGTATCTCCCAGCAGGAAAATATTGCCCAGCTTGGCTGTGTCCAGAGACCCTAGAGGGCTTGGGAAACACCTCAGGGGGCTTGGGAAACACCTCAGGGGGCTTGGAAACACCTCAGGGGGTTTGGGAAACACCTCAGAGGGTTTGGGAAACACCTCAGGGGGTTTGGGAAACACCCCAGAGGGTTTGGGAAACACCTCAGAGGGTTTGGGAAACACCTCAGGGGCTTGGGAAACACCTCAGGGGGCTTGGGAAACACCTCAGGGGGCTTGGGAAACACCTCAGAGGGTTTGGGAAACACCCCAGAGGGTTTGGGAAACACCTCAGGGGCTTGGGAAACACCTCAGGGGGTTTGGGAAACACCTCAGAGGGTTTGGGAAACACCTCAGGGGCTTGGGAAACACCTCAGGGGGCTTGGGAAACACCTCAGGGGGCTTGGGAAACACCCCAGAGGGTTTGGGAAACACCCCAGAGGGTTTGGGAAGCACCCCCAGCTCCCTGGCTGGAGCAAGGACAAGAACCAGAGTGACCTGAGTGTTTCCCATGGGGAGGGAGGGACTGAGAATCCTGAGGGTTGCTTGTGTTTATCATTTGTGTGGCTGTGTGTGCACCTGGAGCATTCCAGAGGAAGCAGGAGTTTGGAAAATTTCTGTGTTAGGGCTGCTGAGCAGGTATGGCAGTGTGGCACTAGTAGAGCTGAATAAGAATTGAGGAATGTCTGCTGAGCCTCCTGTTTAAAAACGGAATAAAATCCATATCTTGTAGCTGTGCCTTGGCTGTGATAACTCATCAGGTGTGTAACAGCTGTGAAATTATTTATTTTACTGCCTGGCAGGAGGAATTTTTCTGTGGTCCTTTGGATATATCTGCAAAAACTCAGCTATGATTTGGATACCATCAATGCCACCTCCCCTTTGTCCAACAGGGCACTCAGGGCCAGAAATCAGGATGCCAGTGGCTTAGGGCAGATTTCCCCTTTTGCCAGGGAAATTTGGAGCCTGGGAAGGGTCAGTCTGTGACTCCTTAATGCTCAGCATGGAGCATCCTCAGAGTTGGGCATCAAGGAGAGCCCCCTGTGAGTCCATGGGAACACAAAGCAGCCTGGAGGCCCCCCAAGAACTCAGGGTCCTGGAAATGGAAGCGTGTCCTGAACCCAGGTGAACAGAGCTGGGATTGTTCCAAGCCCTGTCATGAATGTCGTGAGGCTTTCCTGCATCAAAGAGGGGAGAAGGGGGAGGCAAACCCAGAAAAATCTGTGAGGAGCAGGACATGAAATGACAGCAGAAGTCTGGCTGGGACAAGAAGGGAAGTGTGCCCTGAGGCCCGAAGTAGCTGCTCGTGCCTCGAGCTGATGGATTTTAGGCTGGTAAAAAAAGCAGCAGGCTGACATGTGTCAAAACCATCTTCTGAAGTACTTTTGGGAGAGACAATTATGCTGGCTGGCAGTGCCTTTTAGCAGGAAACTGAATTTTGGTGGGAGATGTGGGAGCAGCCGTGACCCCTCGGGGGCAGGAGGAAGGGGGCACTGGCAGGAACGTGGCTCTGGGAGGTGGAACTGCTGCTGCTTGCTGCCCTTGGGCACCTCACCGTGAGGAACAGCCAGTCCTGGAGCCGGGCATGGACCTGCTGCCCTCCTGTGAAGCCAACACTGAGGGGTTTGACTTGGTCACAGTCCCAGGGGAGGAAAAACTGCAGCTTGTGGTCACTGCTGTGCCCTGACTAAGCTGGAGGATGCTTTTCCTCCTGAGCCTGTCCTAAATCCACACCCAGCAGCTTTGCCCTGGCTGATTTGGGGTTTGGTGCTGTTTTCTGTGGCCTCTCTGAAACCAGGACTGCCCTGAGCCTGCCCTCAGGACTCTTCTCCCTCTCCTTCCAGCTCACACCATGGCAAGCCTGTATCCATACTGGCAGAACGACACCAAAACCCCCAAAGTCGATGATGGCAGCTCCCCTGAAATCAAGATCTCTGTGCCATTCATCTTTTTTGGAGCCCCGTACAGAAGCATTTATGTAAGTGGAGGAAGCAGACCTTCCCTTCATCCTTTTCCTTGCCATTATTGGCTGCATTTTAAACACGCTCTGCCTGTCATCAGGAATTGGAAGATTTATTAGCAGCTA